TGGTGAAAAATTTGTGCGTTTAGGCCAGGGTTCGTCTTCGTGTGGACGGGGCCTGAGATTCTTTAAGTTACAGAGGCTCAGGTTGCTAACCAAACTAAGATCAACACTGCGGCGAAGAAGCAAGGTCTGGCAGGTGTTTATAAAGGGAAGGTCTCCTGATGAGTAGATGCGTCTCAGGTGTGCTGGAAGACTCCAGCCCTAGGAGACCCACGGCGCACTCTGCTGGAGACAGAGGGTAATTTCCAGATCCCAACAGTAACTCCAGTCCTAAAAGAAAATAAAGAGCAGAACAGTTCAATTGTTTGCCAGTAGTTTGCTTTTGAATTTTGAAAAGTATATATTTAAGTCGTGTTTGCCCAAATCTTAACCTTGATTATCACTCTCTCTTCCTTTGTATTTCATCTTCCATTTCTTCTATTTCCTACTATCTTCTGAATTTTATAAAACCACCTTCTTGTTTTTTCTTCATCCCACCTTTTTTTTTGCCATTTTCCATCAATTTTTCTATAATAAAACTCTTTCTCTCCGATTTACTTGTTTTAACTGTAAAACTACTAGGATTTTATAATTGCCCTCTTTAGCATGTAGGTGTTTCTTGGAGGCAGCTTTAGATACTTGCCCATTTTCTCAATAGCTTCCAGGTTATGTGATCAATTGACTCAATATCAGTGTTGTATCATAGTACGCCATCATCTTCAAAAGTTAGGCCTTTTATGTTACATTTTCAACTTTTAATTTTTTTTTTATAAATTTTTATATAGAAATATTAGCATTTTTGCTCAATAGCATCAAGGTATCTATGTCTAGATATTGGCAGTTTTACTGAATATGTTCCAGTTTTTGTGATGGATTTACACAAAATCTATAAGAAATCCTGGTACTTGACTGGTTTAATGAGATACACCATTTAGTTTTTTTTATGAAATCTCTAAATATGTATATTTTTTTGTAAATATGAAAAATATAAATATTCTAGTTTGATAGCTTCTTGGCTTCAAAATCTAGGCCTACAGTTTTATTTTGAAAACAGGAAGTTGGTACACGATGCCGTTTTCACTCGCCGTGTTTTTTCTGTAAAGTCTCTAATAAGGGTGCACTGGAAGTGTTGGAGCGGCTTCCCCCGATCGCTGTGTACCAGGGGCAAAGGAGAGGTTTTCCCGTAGGGAAGAAGAGAATTAACCGGAGGAAGAAGCGGTTTGAATGTCTGTCGAATATCCAACGTAAAACTAACCTCACCGCGGTCTAAGACCGACCAGTATATTTTTATGAATTTCCAAGAACAAAAACATTATTTAAAAAAAAAACATAATTTCATGAACAGCTTTACATTTTGTACATAAATCTTGCCCTTCTGAGGCTTTGTGAAGGTAAATCTGTGTTTTGCATGGTCCAATATTATCAGTGCCCCAGGCATACCCAGGCACCGCAGATCTCCAACAGGGCACGTGCCCCTGGCCGTTTCTCAATATGCGTTCTTGAGCGTTCTCATGTGCTCGTGTACTCGTGACACGTCATCAGCCTCAGCCCGATTCCGTTCCAATTCTCGAGAACACCAGATCGAGAACACACCAAATCCCCGGATGTTGTTCTCTCCCCACCCTCTTTATCGAGCATGCATCAGAGCAGACTTGTGTGTTCTTCAGACTGACCGCTTCCCCAGAATGCCCCGCGGCCGCAGCTTGATTCGAGACAGCGCTCACAGTGGTAAGTTAAACATTCCCTTTTCTGCTGCAGTTGTTCTTCAAAGGTACATTTTGAAATCGTTTGAGGCGATAACATTATACATTTAGGGCCGGATCTATCAAAGGTTTGCGTGTATAAAAACGTGAGCTATTTCACTGCGCACGCTAAAAAATGTACAAACTGATCTATCAACAGCGTGCTAAAAGGATTTGGTCTTTAAAATGTGCTAAATAGCGCCTCTTATCCATTTAGTACTTTTTCTGCAATGAACATGCAATATGGGGCATTTACATGCAAAAGTGCGTCCTGTGGGAGGAGAACATGTAAATATATTAATTTAGCACTCGCAAAGTGATTTATCAAACCTGAAAGCAATTTTGCTAACGGTATCTGACTCTATATTTAACATGTTTCAAAAGAAGGTGCAAATGGTCTGTATGCGTAATTGCGCACACATGGCAGCGCTTATTGTCGCAAGAAGGAGACAAGGAAATGAAGCAAGGAGATGCAGAGAACGCTTTTTTCACTCCGTGTGAATATTTTTGGAATGAACGAGGAAACGATCATCAAAACATATCGTTTATCCAGCATTGCCATTTTGGAGCTGTTGGGGGAACTCCGAATGGATTTGGAGCCAGCCACAAGGAGGATCCACGCAATACCAGATATCACAAAACTCCTTGCAACATTGCACTTTTTTGCATCTGGGTCATTCCAGCGTACGGTTGCAGCGAGAGCTGGGATCTCCCAATCTCGTTTTTCAGAGGTGCTGTCCGACGTTCTGAATGCCATGTCGCCCTGACGCCCTACCGGAGAACCCCGACCTCTGCGCCTGTGGAGCAACACGCTACTGTTTTCCCTTTTTTCAACACTGGCAGATCCTTATCGTGTCTAATTCCCCTCATTCTTTTAATCATTCCCCAAACTTTATCTAGTGGTGTTGTTCTTCCAATAGTACAACAGAAGTCTCTCCAACAATTCTTTTTTGCCCTTTTAATAACCTTTCTAACTATTGCCTGTGCCCTTTTATATTCTATCAAATTTGACATTGAATGATTTTTTTTCAATTCTCTAAACTTTTTATTTCTATTTCTAATAGCTTCGGAACATTCATTGCTCCACCATGGTACCATTTTAACTTTCTTTTTACTTTAACTCTTACCAATTGCTTGTGATGCGCGCACGTTTTTTATTTTTTTTATTTTATTTATTTATTTATTTTACGTATTAACTCGTCGCCGTCCGGAACTAAAGTATTTGATTCCAGTTTGCCTACGGGTTTTTTAAAACGGACGGACACTATTTAACCTGCGCATGCGCAATCGGGGCGTAGTTATGAAAACAGCAGTTGAGGCTTTTTTCCCTTAGTGAAACCTTAGCAAAGCGATGGCGGGAGGAGAGGAGGCTGCTGGGGGCAAGGTCAGCTTGAAGTTTATCTTTATATGGAAAAGCTTTTAGTTTGCAGCAGGTCACCGTGCTTACTTATTCTCTCTCTATCAACGTTTTTTTTTTTTTTTTTTTTTTTTTTTACAATTCAGTGAGCACAGTTAAGGTTAGATAAACATCAGTAGAAACATTTAGTCTGATGACCTCCATCACTTCACCTTCGCTAAGAGACGCAGCTGAAAGTTTTTATTTTTTTGAGTTTTTACGGCACTAGTTGCTCGTTTTCCTGACAGGAAAGGAGGACTAGGGACATGTAGTAAAGGACCGCAGGCCGGATTGGAACCCTCCGCATTTAGGTGCACTAACTAGTGCGCCTCCCGCTGGTCCCAGCTGAACATTTGAGCACATCATTAAGCTTTCTGTATAAAGGCCTCTAAGCAAGACTTAGACTTATTTTATTGCCGTTTTGTATCCACAGAGCAGACAGGAAAAAACTATTTGTGAAGGTTTATAATTATATTATTTTTTTCCTCAAATTAATTTATTTGTTGTTGTTTTGATGCTGGTTGTTTTTGCTAATTTTTGTTTGAGCTGTAATGAAAAAGTATAAACCACATGGCACTTTGCTATCATTAATTAATCATGAAGCTTCCTGCTAGATGATTTTATAATTTGCAGTAACATCAAATGATGCATTGAGACAGGGCTGGAAACAGCAGCACTAGAGCTGCAGTCAGGTTAGACAGAACGATGAACAATCCAGAGATTTGTCACCAACTCTCGAATAAACATCTTCCCAAATGCCTACAGATGTGTTTACCTCCATGCAGACATTTTCCGGACCAATGTGATGCAACATCATGTAGGAATTCAGCCAGGTATAAAGCTGCAGCCAAACAGAGGAGGGCTGCTCTGGTCTTAGCTGGAAAATCCGCTATTTGGTTTAAATAATGAGCTGCAGTACGTCCTGATCTGATCTTCCAGATCTATTTGCTTCTCCAACACATTCCAATTGATCACTGCTGCTTTAGCTCAACTGCAACTATTAGAATCAGCTGCAGGAGCAGAGAAACCTAAAATCTGCAGGACTGCAGCCCTCGGGGACCGGCTTTGGGCATGCATGAGTTACATGATAAAAGAGACATAGTGATAGCAAATGCTGCGCTTTAAACAAAACAGGACGTTTTTAATTGGCAAATATTGAACGAATAAATTGCATGCAGATATTGGCCTATCCAAGGATCTAATAAACCAAACAGTTTCATTCAGTGCTCTGTTCCCTCTCGTCTGTTGGGTAGGACCTAATCTCTGAGTGTAAATCAGGCTTCAGTTCCTCAGATGGTGGAACTGAGGCATCAGATTTATGTCTGGATTTAGAGATAATGTGCTCAAGTCTTTGGGGTCTTCATCATGGTTTTAATCCTGTCCTCTCCCGTCTCTGTGTTTTCCAGGGTTTTAAGCTGTTGGGGATCCTGGATGTCCAGAGGACGCCATGCGCCAGAGATGCCATCCTGCATGGAGCTGGAGGCTCGGTAGCTGCTGGCATGCTGTATTTTCTGGCCACCAGTGAGTCTTGTTTAATAAGCGATAATTTCTTTTGGTGGGGGTGGGGTTCATGGAGTCACCAAACAAAAGAAAGAAGCAAAACATAGTGGAAATTCTTCATATGTCAACCAAACAGCCAGTGGTAGATCTGGAAACCTCAGAACTATAGCAGATCAAGCTAAAAGTACAACAGCCTCATTTTGTAATCTTTGGTTAAATACAACTGATCAGTTACAGTTTCAGTGTAGTTATTTATAAATTCATTTATTTATCATAAACGTATTTAGTATTATTGTCTAGAAATGTCCACCAAACCTCAGAGTAGATATTGAAGTAAAAATAAAATAATAATATATTATCACATCAAAACATATTGATAATTTTGGCCATGGTGGTCCAGCTACTGCTGCTCAATCTGCTTCATACCGCACTGAATCATGGGAAATATTGGGCCAGGAAAAATACTGTGGATACATCCTACAGGTTGTCCATCAGGAGGCTACAGCTAAGGCCTGAATTAGAGCGCATCTACCAACTCACTGCTACATTTGAAAACATAACTCTGCACACATTTCTGAAAAATGAAAGAAAATAAGGAAGTTGACGTTGCTGCCTCACTATAAAAGCCCAGTTTCATTGTTTTCCTGAGTTGGCAGTCTGTCAGGTTCCTCCTGTGGTCGGCAGCAGTGAAAGAAGACAAGTAGAAGCAGAATGCTTGGTAGGGCTTGATTCAGACATGCTGCTGCTTCCTTCAATGGAGAATGATGGGTGCTGCGTTCAAAGCCAACATTCTACTGGGGTGCTTGTGTGTTTAGAGGTTGGACGTTTGGGACGTTGATCTGTTCTGTTTCTGGCAGTCAGACAGAGGTTTAAAATTTGCTTTATCTCAGTTTTCCGTTTGTAGCAGCTGAAAGTGATTTTTAAAGCAGGTTTGTGGTAAAAACTCAAAGTATCAGACTGTAAAATAGAAAATTTTTATCAGCATTTTTATAAACTGTTTCACCAACATTGAGGAACTAAGGAACTATTTAGTGGAGGAAAAGCGATCTGAGACTTTTTCTCTGATATGTGGATCCAGTGGAGTTAAAGCAGACATCACAGCTTTCTCCCTGGCAACTGATTGGTTGACGTTGCTTTAGGAAAGGGCCTTGAGATGATGTGTTCTGAATATATAAATAAACTAAATTCATTGAAATAAATTCATCAAATTACTTCTGGAACAGGGCTGCTTAGTGGTGCGGTGGGTAGCACTGCTGCCTCGCCTCTCTGTCTAGGGTGGACCCCGCCTCTCACCTGTAGACAGCTGGAGATAGACACCAGCACCCCTCACCCCCCAGCAGGGTTAAACATGAAGGAAAAAGAATGGACTTCTGGAACTGACTCCTATGTGCAGATGAGGCCAACAGGAAGATGTTTGGCAGCTCTCACTAACACAGTGGTGGAAGGGTGATGATGTGGGCTCCAGTCAGAGATGGGGGATCTGGAGCCAGATGAGTGCAATCTGTAGAGTGACTGTGCAGATTGGACACGTAGAGACGACTTGTTTTCCTCCAGTCTGTTTACTAATTTAAAGAAATTTCTGTCTGAATCAGGTCGAGTGAGGCGCTCCTTTGACGTAGGATTAGCCGGTTTTATACTCACCACTCTGGGGTCCTGGTAGGTTCACTGCTTGGCTGAATTTTCCCTCTAGAAGAAGTGCTGCTTTTCTCATGGCTTGGTTGTTTTTTCAGGTTTTACTGCAGGATAAACAATGCCAAGCTCCGCGTGCAGCAGAGGGTGATACAGGAGGGCATCAGGAACAAGGTCATCTACGAGGGAACCGTTCTAGACCCCTCAAACAAACCCAAAGCAGACGCTCGTTCGGGTTCATCGTGACGACCGACGCTCCTCTCTCCAGACCAGAGAGAACAGAAACTGAGTTGGAAGTGTTGGAAGAGAACTAAACAGATGTTTGATTTGCGGAAAGATCTTCCAATATGGAGCCAGTCTAAATCATGGAGCCTGTTTAAATCATTTCTGATTTAAACAGGAAGATGCTCTAAATGTCTTCTTTATTTCATCTGGAAATAACTGTCTAATTTATTTTTCTAATGTGTTTCTGAAACATAAAATGTTTAGAGGATTAATTAAATAACTAATGTAAAAAAATACAAAGGAAGGATAAAACAGACAAAAATAGCATGACATGCACATAAATATTTAAAAATGTAAGTAATTGAAAAATAAAGTTGAAGATTATAAAGGACAAAAAAATAAGTCAAATTACAAAGGCAAATAAAGAAGCTAATTAAAAGAGTTGTATACATTTATGTCTCACTGTATAATTTAATTTCTACATTTATTTGTTGTATTTTGGTGGCAATTAATTGTGTGCTTATTTATTTGAGCATTTATTTCTGTATTTTTATATGTGGCAGTCATTCCTACATACATATCATCTGAATGTCTTTTGACCAATGATCTGTGGTGTTCTAACACCCATTAGCCAGCAGGTGTCAGCATAGCTTGGTTTAAATTGGTTATAAAGCTGAAGCTTCCTGCATGAGGCTGATCAATTCTGCAGAGGATAAATTTCTTTACATTTTCAATATTGTCTTTATAAAAATCAAACATCAGCTCTGATATAGACTTTTATAACACATGAAAGCAAACATTGATTACAAAAATTAATCAGGTTACTTGGTAATGCGTCAGGTTTCGTACATCGTCATGCTGAACTTGGCAACCCAACTAACATGGGAATATCCATCTTTTCTGTATGCAAACCTAGTTAGAATGAAGACCAATAAAAACATTTTTAAAAAACGATTTAGTTCGCTCATACATGAATACCAAGCATCTTCAAATGAAGGCAGCTTTAATGGAGAATTTCTACATGATTGTTAATTTTCAGTATCAGTAATGATATCCATAAATGTCTAGTTGATCATTTCTCGAGGTAAATCTTTTTGGGTTACAAAAATATAGGTTTAAACACATCAAAAACAGTTTACACAGCCTTCAGATGTGACATAGTTACAAGTGTAGCGACTGGCAAACTACGGTACCTGAAAGATCTTTGTGTTTTCAGCCATTAGTCTCTCTGCTCAGAGTTAAATGCAATCTGTTCTAAATGGAGAGAAAAAAAAAACAAACCAAGCAAGAAAATGGCTTTAAGTCCACAAAACAAAGAATGCGTCTTTGAAATTTTGATTCATCATGATCTGCATGCAGGTACCAAGACCATTACAATATCCTGGTTCAAAAATCAAAGCCCTATTTATGATTTCTATTTTAATACAATCAAAAAATCGCCATCTATTGGTGCAAAGAGAGAAAATGGAAGATTGTGGATTTATGTTTCCTGTAATATGGAGCACTGCATGAACATGTTTACAGATAAATAAAAAAACTACTTGTTTTCTGGAGGTTCTTTTGGTAATCAAACGTTATATTCATATCCTTTTCTCTAGGGATGCACGACATATCGGCATTAATAAGCAAAACAACCCATTTATTCCCATGTAGCTCCTGGTCATGGGCTACATTTTAGTTTATGTGAGAGTTATAGTTATTCAGCAGGGGACTGTTTTATGGTGTTCAAACATTAGGGATTGTATAATACATCGGGTCAATTAATATCGGTGATCTGCCATAGCAAAATTGCAAAATAGATTTTTGCCAACATTTTCCTATGGGTGCCTTCCTGCTTTTTTCATTCGATTGTATATCTTTTTCTGAAAACATGACACCACATTTCCATTGATCAGGGTTCTGATCCTCAGCTTCCACCATTTTACAGTTAAATCTTAGTAAATACAAAATAGTCCTGATCAAAATAAGATAAAATAACAAAATCCTGCAGGTGGATAGTTGTCAGTCATATTTTATTACCGTAAACTAAGAATATTAAAGAAATTTACTTTAAACCAGTGATTTTCTATAGAGATATAAAGAGCTTCCTTGAAAAGAAGACTATAGGCACATGGACATTTACTGAATGGGAAAATAACCAGCCGCCAGTTTTTTTTACTGTAATAAACTGTAAATAAAAAGTAAAAAAAATAATTAACAGATGTCCCATCATAGTGTTTTTCTGGACCTGGATCACTGAGCCGACCGGTTGAACAGCGTCCAGAGGAAACTGGCCAGACTTCTCAGAAACTCTCAAACCATCTATACATTAACTGTCTTTATCAGCACTTTCATTACCAGGGGTACATTTACTGCATGTGACTGATTTAAACAGACGGCATAAATAAAATAAGATGTCCCAATAGAACATTCTGATTTCTGTTGCAACTTTAGAAGAATAGTCAGCAAAAATAAGTATAACTGATCATTAACCAAAAGGTTACATAAACTTCAGACAGAAGCAGAGCAATTTTGACAGCATGAGATTTTTAGGTTCAAATCTATATAATTCGATATTTATCATTACTGAATCAAGACATCTCTATTAAAAAAAAAAAAAAAAAAAGCAGCCATGTTGGATTTTGAGATGTACATTTGTGATCCAACCCAAACCCTCCAAGACAAATAAGGAAGTTGCCACGGTTACATTTCTATATTTCCATTCAGTGTCAATGTGTTTTTTCAGCAGTATAAGGATTGAAAAAAACTAAATCGTTTCTACTTTACTGCATTTTGAACATAAATATAAAACAGCTTTGTTATTTAAATGTAAAGTTGATGCTGTTGGAACAGTTTGTTTGGTTAGCAAGGGGAATAAAAGGAGTCTCCCTACTCTTAACAGACGATAACCTAACCTTCCATCTCGATTGATAATGAGACAAGATGAAAATATTAGGACTTCAATCAACAGAACAATTTTTTTTAACTATAGCTAATATTAGCCTTTAGTTGCTGAGCATTTAGTGCTAGATTTGATAAACCACATACTAAACAGACACACTGACCTATATAATTATTCATATATTCAATAGAGCAAGGTAACAATTGAGTCTTCATTTAAAATCCAGATTTAAATGCCTCTAAAGTCATATTTGACATTAAGTTTTGATCTTTGTTTTCTTCAAGCCCTTTTTAAGGAAGAATGAAAATAAAAATAATCAACTATAAAGGTCTTTTTTATTCCATGTTATTTTTCCTTTTTATCTCACTATTTAATAGTTTTAATGTGGATTTCAGTCCCTTTAACACTTTTTTTTTTGGCATGACATTGTTTATTATCGGTTAGCCTAACCCTGTTGATATAAAATCAACACAGGTTGGATTAGTGAATATTTAATGGGAAAAGCTACTAAGTATGGAAACCATGATTGGGAAGTTTTAGCTGGTTTAAAGAGTGTACTAATAGCCTGTAGAGCTATAAATGATCTGGTTTTGGTTCTGGGAGGGCCTGTGGTGTATGTGGACCATGAAAGCTGTTGTTGATGACAGTGTTTGAACATTTCTCTGCTGCATAAAACTGCAGAAATGTTGGGCTCTTATCACAAAAAGCATATCTTCTTGTTTTTTTCAGCATTCAAATGATGCAAAATGCTAAAAATTTCAACTATGTGGCAACAACAAACTTTAAGGTGAAAATTTTCTTCTAAAAGATCTCAAAGTGGATGTTATCTAACATTTATCCTTAGAGTTTGGATTCCAGCTTTAGTTCACACACTTCACTCTCCTCAGTTTGATCATTCAGGTTGTAGTCTGTAGTGACAGCTTTATGGCCATCGGCTGAATATTGAGCTTGCACATTAAAAACGTCCCACTTCTCAGGAATCAGGCCTTTTTTATAGAGGACAGATGCCAGATAGGAGAAGAACAAGATGGAAACCGCAGCAGACAGCATGCAGATGGTTCTGATCGGCATGTGCTGGATGTAGAACCCGTTTTCCCAAGTGCCTCCTGGGAAGTGGATGAATGCCGGTATGCCGAGCAGCGGTTCCCCGCAGAGCACCCTGAGCAGGATGCCGGTGGCACAGCCCAAGACGGCCCCGTAACCGTTGGAAACGTTGAAGAAGAGGACGCAGACCAGCTGAGGTAGCATAAGGGTGTAAGTAAGATCCGAGCGAAGCAACCAGATCATCAGGACGCTGTTGTCCAGGAAGGTGAGTGACGTTCCAGCCAGACCTACGACTATCACAGACAGCCGAATCACCCACTGGATCTCCTGCTCAGATGCCTACCAAAAAAAAATAATTAAAAGACAGCAAAAAACCCATCAGCATCATGGGAACACGTACATACCGCTGTCCTCATCCTCTCCTCACCTGTGTCCTCAGGATGTTCTTATAAATATTGGAGGTAAAGATGGAGGCTGCGGACAGTAAAGCTGAGTCAGTCGATGACATCACGGCAGCAGCCACCGCCCCGATGCCAATGATGGAGATATAGGTGGGGGTAAGGTGCTGTAGCACCAGTGGCAAGATGAGACCAGTTTCCCCGCGTTCAAAAGGAGACGGGGATCCATAGGTGGTCAGATTCCAGTCTGAGAAGCACAATTAAAGACCAACATCTGAGAAAACATCAAGCTTCAATAGGTTGCCGTGATGACAGGACTCATCCTTAAGATTTAATCACATCAAATCATTAGCCTTAAAATAATCTAACCTTTATTTTATTACCTCCATTGCCCTCCGACTTTATTTTAACCCTTCATCTCCTGTCATTTAAATTACAGAGAAAGATAAGAGTTAAATGGCGCTTAAGATGTAGTATGAACATTAGTGTTCACTAAAGCAGAGGAGGCATTTAGATGTCCCTGATGAGAAAAGCATTAACCAAAGGGGCTCCGCAACTGCAGACATCCACAGCTCAGGTAGGAGACTCTGTTGGGTTCAAAACTTCATCTTTTCTATTACAGAAGAGTTGACATAAGAATGGCCACCATGAGAAGTCTGAAATTTAAAGCAAGTTATGGAAACGGACACAGCAAATAGGGAAAAAGGAGCCTCTGCTCTGGTGATAGAGTTTGGACTGTTTTTCGGTGTTTAGTACCGTTTCTCTCCTAGACATAGCTTTGTGCCCAGTTTTTACTATGACTACCTCTCTGGTCTCTCATCACTTCCACATGAAAACAGGCTAAGAGCTCATCAGCTTAATTATTTATTTCCTACACAGAGCCACTTCTTGCTCTAGTTTACTGTTACATTTTCTAGCATAGAAAATATTTATAGATATAGAGTGCTTCTTTATTCCTTTTCTATGTCTGCTTCTGTCTCCTTGAACCCCAGTCGGCCTCAGCAGATGGCCGCTCACACTGAGCCCTGTTCTGCTGGAGGTTTCTTCCTGTTCAAAGGGAGTTTTTTTTCTTTCCACGGTCACTGCATGCTCATTCTCAGGGATTGGTTTAGAGTCAACGGCCCAAATCCGAAACCGGCCCCTAAACACCATCTATATGCACTAAACCCTCCATTTGTGTGTTTCTGGAGCCTCAGCCATATTAATTCAGCCTTTAAATAGCAACAGAAAGGTATGAAGACTTCAGTTTCATCCTAACCATCCATTTTTAGTTGGCTATTAAGTTGCTAAAACTATTCAAATTTTTTTTTCTTTTCAATCTGGGTAAAAAAGAAAAACTTTTGTGGCCTGCGAGTATGACTGCTCCAACTGTCGATAATAAGAAAGATAAAAAACAGGAAGGAGGAGTTATAAATTACTCGATTTAAAAGGAGCCACCGTTCTGATGGCCCAAAGCTTTACTGCAGGAATTTAATATTGTGTGGAACACTGCACCACCAACAGGGCTGGAGTGAACGTCAGAGTCTTTTTCTCATTTAATATAAAATAAATTTAAACCTCTATCATTTGGAAACTGCATTTTGTTTCAAATAGCCTTTTTATTACCAATAAAAACAACTGGCCTGCTTTCATGGAAACCAACCCCTAAAGAATTGGAGAAGGGACTAAATAAAATTGCACTACATGTGTTTCAGATTACCGTATTAATGCATTTTCTCCCGTTGCAGCATCAGTCACATTTGACCCTTGAGGTTGTTGATGGTTGTCAAAGAGGTAGGACTATTTTCCTATACTAAAGTCTGCAGTAAAGTGCTGTTTTTTTTCTCCATATTAAGTATTGTGACAACAGGAAACTCCCTTATTTTATGCAACATGATTCTTACTTGTTGATGCAGCAGCTGCTCCGAGGAGTATGGGCGGTATTCCTAATGTGGGAACGATGAACGCCGCAGCAAAACAGGTGATCTTGGCTGTTTCTGAAGATGCAGCAGAAAGCGTCCTCTGGTGAAAATTCTGAAGACCCAAGTTCCCCAAACCCTGAGAGAAGGAGAGACAAAGGAAAGGTTAAGAAGGATAGACACCAGGTTTTCGCTCCACAGGGATGGAAGCGATTCTTGAAAACCAAGCAAAACCAAAGAAATTCACATCCCGACAAATAAAAAACAAGAAGTCAAAGAGACAAGAAGTCTTAGAGGTTTGTACCAGAAGGAGGAAGTTATCAATCCACCTCCATGCTCTTTCTGGCTCCAGGGAACCCACCCAAGGAGACTGGAAGGTTCGGTTGAAGGCCGTCTCTGTGATGTCCAAGACAGCTGGACTCATCAGAGCGAAGGGGACGCACAGCCACTAATAAAAGCATGACAAGTTACTTCATTAACCCTTTATCCAGTAGCTGTTATGATTAATCTAAACTTATTGTTCTTCAATGGCAGATTAATTAAACAAACAATTTCAGAGATTTGACAAAACAAGAATTGAAATTTTCATGCGATGATTTCATTTCATCTGGTTTCCGAGGCTACGTTAGATCCACCTTAGAATCTCACCCTGCTTATTCCAACCCAGCTTTGACGTATCTTTATAATCACTGCTCTGCCGGAATACATAACAGAGTCCGTTTCAGCCACTGGACACAAACTTACCATGAAGTCAAAAGAAATGCTTCAAAACAGCAAAGCTTAACTTAATTCGGCTGCAACACTGAACAGCTCATCAGTTTACACGCATCACTATATGAAGAATCGTGCTAAAGGGTGCTGAGAGCGGTACAAAAAGGATGGCTGGGAGCCAGGCAAATAGACTTTGACCTTTCTGCTTTTCAATCAACTGGAACATCACTGTCCCGTATAGGGTGGAGCTCAGACTGATCTGACCAAGGAACATACTAACATCTTAAATCTGTGATAACATTTAGTGCCTCTCAAATGGAAAAAGATAAAAAGACATACCCGGTATTTACAAAGGTTAGCTTTAGCATTAGTGGACTTGGTGGCTGGCTGGCAAAGAGTACAGAACTAAAGCTAGCAAGCATGACGGCGCCACTTTCTGTCGAGCACAAATTAAAATATTTGCTATAACCTGACTACGGTTTTAAAAGACATCTAGTCTTAAATTAGGAGAAGAAACAAAAAGTCGTACCAAGCTGATGAAAATGAGGATGAGCTGTATGATGTCTGTGTAGGCCACAGAGTAGAGGCCTCCCAGCAGTGTGTAGGTGATGGCCACAGCAGCAGAGATCCAGATGCTCACAGTATAGGACAAATCCAGGATTACACTCATGGTAACACCTGATAAAATACACAATAAATCCTATAAACACTTATTGAGACCAAAAGCAAAGATCTCTGGGTAATATTTGTTTTTTTTCTGGGTCAGTGCAGCAATGTTCAAACTGGATCAATTCTGCCCTGGCACTGGTGCATACGTGCAGTGCACATCCTCTGACTTCTGGTCCGTTATTCGTCAAGTTATTTTGAAATGTCCCACAAATCTGTGTTAGAGTTACAGGTATATATATATATATATATATATATATATATATATATAAGAAAAAAGTCACAGGGGTTCAGGTTGCAAACAGTAGTTGCTCATTTTGATAAACTTTGTCTTGGTAGGGACCGAATCAAATCTTACTATGACAAAAATGCATGCAAATGTAAAATAATGAACCTGTCATGCAAAAAAATATGTTTTTCATTTCAGTACATATATTATTACCGGTACCATAAATCTACTTTATTTATTTGACCTCTTTCATTATTAAATCCTATGCTGTGCAGATGCTCTGTCCGCTCAGGTACAGATTCACTCAGCTCAGCATGTCAAAAGCGAGCTATTGCTTGCCAGCACCAATAAACTCTAAAGAACTTTGACACTTCAGCCCAAGATGGGAAGCATATCATGAAGTTTGGGGGCCGACGTACAGGAAACATTTCAAATAAAATAATTTAAAAAAGGGAAAGTAGTTAAGGTTGCACAATAAAGAACTTTAGATCTCCAGTCGGGCTACATGATATTAGCAAAACATGCGGTACGGTTGGAAAATGTAATGCTGATGCAATAAACTAACTTTTATGTAGTGTACAGTGAGTAAACAACCAAAAATGAGTCATTATTTCTATACTAATGACATTTTTATACAGGAGTTGCATTACTAAAATGTTTTCTGGACAGTTATATAAGTATTCATTCCTTTTAATACTTTATTGCTTTGTGCAGTTTGCTGCAATACCGTTTTTTTTTTTCCTTCCATTTTTTTTTATACAGTATCTGGTATAGCTCTAGTCTGTAGTTGTTTTAGAATTGATATTGTGATGAAAGCGTCACATTATCTTCAGTTGTTTTAATAAGAACAACCAACAAAAAGCCTTAGAAACACACGGTGCATTCCCCAAAGGACTTGCATGTGAGAACACCAGTGTTTTCTCTCTGGACTGCTTACAGAGTTCAGCCAGTAAGCTCCCTGCAGGAAGTCAGCAGATAGATGCCGTCCTAACAGGCAATCCTGGGCAGTATTTCAGATGGATGAGGGCGGGCGCTGGCTTCTATGTTGCTTTCCACTCATTCGTCATCAGTGGTGATGCAACCAAATTAATTAATAAACAGAGCAACAGCATCAAAATGAAAATAGAATCATGAGGAGAATCCTGGTTGTGTTGGATGGAACAAGTTCATGAAACGTTGAGATGTTTGTGTTGGTATGTAGGCCAGCGAGACAGTGGGATTTTTTCCCTTTGTGTGAAGTAAAAATAGCCTTAAGGCAGTGGAGTGTTTGAGCTCTGCCATCAGCGCTGAAGCAGCTGACAGACTGGTTACCTTGAGGAAAGGATATGTTCTAAAACATTTGATGGGAAGGAGAACTATGTGATAATCTGTCTGCCTTCGCTTTCCCTTCTTTGTTTAGACTCTTTTCTGAATATGCCCTCTGACACAGTCTACAGGCACATTCTCTTTGTTCTCCTTTTCTCTGGAACCTCTTACTGCCATTTATTTTCATAAAATTATCTTAACTTTTAGTCTCTCATTACCTTTATGCCACTGTAATTTACTTTTTTTTTTCTTCTCATGTCGACCAGTTTCAGTTGTTTTGATACTGAATTGTCCTAAACAAAAAGCTTACCTTGCCCATCATGTTAGCTTGTCCAAGGTTATCACGTCAAAGTGTGTGCAATATAAACAATATTGATTAAAATATTGATTAAAAAGAAAACTTTCGATATGATACAAGTGCTGTTACAACAGAAGAATTATTTCAACATATGTAGAGAAATGGTTTGACGTAAAGAAAGCAATTCTTTTCAAACACAGAATTCAGTAAAACTAAAGAAAATAAAAACACTCCTGATAAATGTAGGCAGGCCCTTTTATTATTAATGTGCAGCATCTTAAACCTTTACTGCTTTGCTCTTTATAGGGGATCTAACAGTGGGGATCCGCACCCTCTGTGGGGTCACAGGACACCAGATGAGAGGTCACAAGAAGGTTGTCAGAAACACTGATGTACTCAGGTATGTGGAGGGCTAAAACATCATTGAATAGATAAATGTGAAATAAATGTTATAGTTATTCATCTTAAGCATGAAATAAAATTAAATGTTGATTAAACTGTAAAATGCACAGTTAAATACTCTAATGTCCCATTAAATCAATAACAAAATGTAAATGGTTAAATAAGAATGTTTTATCGAGGGGAGGAAGCCATTCAGACCAGGTAGGCCTCAGCGTGTTGTGAGGATCTGTTGGGAACGTCTGGTAGATCACTCTGTTAGTAAGGTCTTCAACTCCCACCTCCAGACGAGTTTCTCCCAGATCCCGAGGGAGGTTGGAAGCATGGAGTCGGAGTGGTCAATGTTCTCCTCCTCCATTGTCAATGCCGCTGTTCGTAGCTGTGGCCGTAAGCCTCTGGTGCCGGTCATAGCGGCAATCCCCGAACCCGGTGGTGGCACACGGAAGTAAGGAATGCCGGTAAGCTGAAGGAAGAGGCCTACCTGGCCTTGTTAGCTAGTGGGACCCCAGAGTCAGCTGAAAGGTACCGGCAGACCAAGTGTGCTGCAACTAATGAGTTCACAGAGGCAAAAATTCGGGTGTGGGAGGAATTTGGAGAGGCCATGGAGGGGGACCTTAAAAATGTTCTGGTAAACCAGCCCCCGCCTTAAGAGGGGAGAGCAGTGCTTCACCAACACTGTTTACAGCACGGGTGGGGAGCTGCTGATCTCGACTGGAAATGTTGTCGGGCGGTGCACTTGAATATCTGGTTGGAATTAAAAGAAAAGCTCTAGACTGGTTTAAATCTTATCTGATTGATTTCAGGTGTTCACGTTAATAATGAATCTTCCTCATGCTCATGTTACCTGTGATGTACTACTGGAATAAGTGAAAAGCCAGGAGTCTTTGGACCAGAGTCATTTCATTGGGATTAAATTGATTAAATTAAATAAAGTAAAAATCTGAGAAACTAGTCAATGCATTTGTTACTTCAAGGCTGGACTATTGTAATTCTTTACTATCA